TGTGTGTGTGTGTGTGTGTGTGTGTGTGTGTGTGTGAGTGTGTGTGTGTGTGTGTGTGTGTGTGTGCGGTAATAGTAAGGTCTGTAAGCATGGGTTGAGGTAGGTCTCGTCTCTGCTGATTAGTGAGGTTTAACTCAGATGAGGCTGACTGACTGAGAACGAGTCTTTAAAGCATCAGATCCAATTAAGAGCAGCTGTAACGAAGTTCAGGTCATCTCGGGCTGTCCGTGTGTCTCTGCTCAAACCGTTGTTTTGATCGGTCAGACGTCACACCGGAGGACGGCTCTCAGTGTCTGAGTTTCTCTGCTGAACACCAGAGATTGAGCTGCAGGTTAAAGCTGCTTTAGTGCGATTGTGTTTGTCTGAAGCACAGCTCATTTCATTCTGATCATGATCTGAGTTTGAGGCCTCAGAACTTTGCTGCAGGTGTAACGGGATCATGAAGCCGTGTGTGTGTTTGTCACTGTGTTCATGAAGCGGATTTATAGTTTTCTTGTTTCTGTCATCTGACAGTCAGTCCGGTGCTGATCTACTGTAGAGCTCTATGAAAGATCCCAGCTCACATTGTTTTGAAATGTTTCTAAAGCGTTAAAATGTCCAGTTTCATAATGTTATTTAAAGGTTACAAAAAAGTTTGTTACAGCATTCTACAAACATTTACACCCAAAATATAACGTTTATTTTTAATATTCTAACAGCGTTTTCTCTCAGCATGAGAACATTCATCAAGTACAAAAACCATCAAAAGGACATTTAGAGAATGTTGTTCTCTCAACGTTATGAGAATGTGTATCAAGTAATCAGAATGTTCCATTAACATTAAGTTTTGTCCTAACATTTATATAACTTTTATAAAACGTTAGTGAGCGTGTTTCCTGTTAGCTGGGATGTTTTATCGCTGAATATTAATTGTCTTTTAAACCCCGTATTTCTGTCATAACTTCTTAGTTTAGTTAAACTGTGCTTTTATTTTGTTGTTGGTTTGTTTTGAGTGTCTGCATTCATATTTAAATGAGTCACAGACACAAGTCCATATCGTATTTGAATTTGATTAATTGTACAGCCCTACTTTTGATGAATTAAAGGTGGGGTAAGCTATTTCTGGTAGCCAATGTTGACATTTGAAATCACCAAAACAAACACGCCCCTACCCCAAAAGGGTCTCGCCCCTATTTTGATAGCTCCGCCCCACACATACGTACGCAACCCAGGCACCGATTAGTTCTGTGAAACAAAGCAAAACCAATGTTACACCGTGTCTACACCGGACGTGACAAGTTTTATAGAACTCATTATAATCAGTGATGCTGTCTACACGATAGATATATATATATACATATCTATGGTCTACACTGGATGCGGCGCAGCACGACACGACAAATCCCCGACAGAAAACTGCTGCTGCGTTCTATTCATGACGTATTGACACAAATTTCAAATGATTTTCAACAGTCGCTTTGCCTCGTCCAGTGTACTAGACAGACTTTAGCTGTTGCGGCGCAGACACGGTGTTACTCACCTATCGAGAAGAAACAAAGCAACCTCGGCGTCCGATCGCAGGCCTTCCGCTCCTTGAGTTCTCTCCAGCGCTGGAAAGCTGATCCGATATTTGCACGGGTCCTACTTCTTGCCTTATTGCCTTAAGCCTTCGTTTGTTCCGCAGACATTTTCCTCTTTTGTTTTTTATCCGCCATCTCTATCTTTCTGTCGCTCGGCTCGCTAATGTACGTCCTGTGCACTGAACCTTACTGCTGATTGGCTACTATTTTTTTTCTATTCGGCACAAATCAGTTTTCTAAAGTGTTTTTGAAAAATCGCTTACCCCACCTTTAATTGCCAAATTCAATGACACTCCAGACTTTTTTTAAATGATCTGATTTAATGCAACAGTTTTATTTAGTAAGGTCTATGAAGGACATTGCGTTCGGCCCTTTCCTAGTCAAATCTGACTTTGAGCAGCTCCCAGAAGTGAGGAGCTCGTCATTCGCTCTTTAATTGGTTTGTGCTGATAACTAGCTTCTAGTTTATTAACACAAGTGTTGTTCTCTTCAGGAGGGGCACAGACACATTTACTGGCATTTTAATTCCAGGGCAGCTCGTCAAGCGCTGCTTTAATGAATGACAGGCCGTGGCTGTGAGCGAGACCCGCTCCGCTCCGGGAGTTTATCTGCTGATGCTCGATCTGCTCTTACTGCGTCTGATCAGAGTCTCAGAGATCACATGATCATCAGATGTGTTGAGTGATATATCAGTGTGTGTGTGTTGATGGATCATGGATTATGAACACACACACACACACACACACACACACACACACACAGACGTTTACTATATAAATAATGGAATTGCATAGACGTCTATCGTTTGTGTGTACAGATACAGATATAATAACCCACACACTGATCCAAACGGAAAACGTTCTGCATTTTTATACAGTTTTTACAAACAAGCGTGTCCACAAAAGGAGGTTTTGGGCAGCAGCGCACCGAAATTTCAGCAACTGAAAATTTTCAGCTGAAACAGCAATTTTTGGTTTCGACAAAATCATTGACTGAAAGTGTGACGCTTCATTAGTGTTTCTCTGTGTTCTGACAGTCAGTGTCTGTTTCATGCATGCCTCCAGTAAGCACAAGTTGCATTTTGTTACTTTTAATATGAAACAAAGTCCCAGCTTTTTAATTCTGTCAATTGTATCACTAACTTCAACCAATAAATATAAAAGTTTTGATGCTTTTTAATGTGTGCTGACAGATCATCTCTTCCTCTTTACTACTAGTTATAGCAGCAAATAAACACAAATGAACATCAGAAGAATCAGAACAATCTACTGAAATTAATTTAATGTATGTTTGAATAAATCTTATTACAGACACCGTTTGATTGTTTATTTTTCCACGACAAAATGTAGCAGAAACCACTCTGTTAGAAGAAAACTGCCTTATGTGCAGTGCAAATGTTTCTACAAGTCAGGTTTTATTTGCGAGGTAATTATAAAATTTGATCAATTTTCGTTTTCCAAAAATGAAATACTTGCAATTAGAGTATATTAAATTTTGAAATGCTCATAATCAGACTACAGTTACTGTTTTATGGATTACGTGATTACATATTATTCAGTAAATGATTCGTAATTAATTGATTCTCCATAATTCTTTTTCTTCTTTTAAACTTTCCTTTGTAAAAATCCTGAAAATCAAAAAATGTAATATACTTAATTTCTCTTAGATTTTTTTTATATCAATATGATGCATTTAAAAGACGTTTGATAAAAAAAAAGTAATCTAAAAAGTAGTCAGATTACATTACCTAAAATAAGTAACCTAGATTACTACTTCATCATGTAATCTAGAATCAGTAAGGGACTATAATTTGTGATTAATCTACCCAGCTCTGAGTGCGATCCGCTGCGGATACATCTGAATGTAAGCGTGTTTGTGTCGCGCCGATCGTCCCGCAGCAGGTTTGATCGCTCTGTTTTTCTCCCAGAATCGTGTGCAGAAGGATCATGCTCTGATCTGCAGTGATTTGTGGGTAATCTGGTGCGTCCCTGAGAGCAGGCGAGGTCAGATGTCAGCGTGTAAATCAGAGTGCTGTATATAAGTCCGTCCCATCGCTCCGAGGTTCATGTCAGCAGTTCCCCGTTTACCCATGATGCTCAGCGGCGCGATCGATCTCTGGCGTATGTTCCGCTCAGCCAATTAAAGCGATCTGCTGATCAGGTGTGTGTTTCTGCAGGCTGAAGTTCAGAAGTGATCGAGCGGAGCGGCAGGAGGCAAACATGCGGTCGCAGGCCTTGTTGCTGTATTTCACGGTGCTGCAGACGGCCGGAGCCGCTTTCCCAGAAGACACCGAGCCAATCAGTATTTCACACAGCAACTGTGAGTAACTGCATCTCACCTCCTCGCTTTGTCTCGTCTTGTTCTCATCCCGCCATCTTTTTCTCACATCAGTTCTGTGAAATGTGATTCTGGTGCCCAGAGAAACTGTAAATGTTGTTTGAGTCTGTGAGACTTCAGACATCCTCTTTTGTTTTGCCTGTCAGGATGAAAGACTTACAAACACACACACACACACGCACACACACACTCACTCGCACACACACACTCACTCGCACACACACACTCACTCGCACACACACACTCACTCGCACACACACACTCACTCGCACACACACACTCACTCGCACACACACACTCACTCGCACACACACACTCACTCGCACACACACACTCACTCGCACACACACACTCACTCGCACACACACACTCACTCGCACACACACACTCACTCGCACACACACACTCACTCGCACACACACACTCACTCGCACACACACACTCACTCGCACACACACACTCACTCGCACACACACACTCACTCGCACACACACACTCACTCGCACACACACACTCACTCGCACACACACACTCACTCGCACACACACACTCACTCGCACACACACTCGCACACACACACACACACACACACTCACTCGCACACACACACTCGCACACACGCACACACGCGCACACACACACACTCGCGCACACACACGCGCGCGCACACACACACATGCACTCTCACACACACACACACACACATTTGTGACTCTTTATGCAATGTTCAGATTTATTCTCTTGTGAAATGTATGCAAATGAGTGCATATTTAATTAGATAGTGCCTCATTTGCATATTTAAACATAACGTTTCAGAAAACTTGTGATTAAAAATGTTTGCAATTCTTAATGTAATCAATCACCTAGGGAAGTATGATAATGTCTATTGTTTTAAAGATTACATTTTTTTACCCTGCCTTAAATCATCGAAAGAAATTAGTTTAAAATAAAATCAATCGAAATAAAGCATTTACTCAAAAGATTAAACATTTTGTTTAGCTGTGTGTCTTGTGATCAGTAATCGACATTAGAGAGCCGTGAACATGTGAATGTGTTGAGAAATGAGTAAAATATGAACTTAAAATCTCAAGTAAATATTGGTTCCATGATCCATCAGACTCTCAATAATGTCATCAGTGTTCTGGCCTGTTTTCCTGAGCGACTGTAGCTCTGCTGAAGGTTTATTGTCCCGTGTGGATTTCACAGGCTCTTTATTGAACTGATGTTTTGCCGTGAAGCATCTCGCTGCTGAACGAGTGCGAATCAAACTCTGTTCCTCTTCCTTCCCCGTCAGATACCAAACAATATCCAGCGTTCGTGGGACAAAAACCGGGAAGGAACAACACGCAGCGGCACAAACTGGACATTCAGCTGATCGTCATCATGAACCACACTCTCTATGTGGCCGCCAGGTGAGTTTGCTATTTAAAGATCGGCCCTGTTTTTAGCAGAGACTGGTAAAGCGCAGATTGAGCAGATTGTTGGCATGGTAACCAGCAGCCCATTCCAGCAGCCCATTCACGGCATATGGACGGGAACGAGCACATGTCCAGCAGTCAGTGAGCCAGCGGCTGTGTGAATCGGATGCTCATTAGTGCTTTACATACATTTATCAGGGATTCTGCGACCTTAAGAAGTCTTAGTTTGCCTTTCCACAAATGAAGGGCTTAATTAAAATGGAGAAGAAAGTCTTAAAGTCATAAAGTCGAGGCATTAAATGTTGCATGCACTGCAAAAAATGAATCTCTTCCTCAGTATTTTTGTCTTGTTTTCCAGTTCAAATATTTAAGCATCCTTAAATCAAGATTTACTTGAGATGCACAATGAAGATATGAAGTCTTGTTTTCTGAGAACTTAAGAAACTAACTTGAAAAACCATAAACTTGGAATTAAAATAAACTTTAACTGAAATAAAATAAAAACTATTTAAAAAACATAAACATTTAATTTCAGTACTCCAATGAAAATGAATAAAAACTATAGATATTTTTTTTTTAAAAACCTAATAAAATGGACAAAAACACAACAAAATTTCTTAACTAAAATTAAAATGAATACAGATCATATAAAAATGAAAACTAATTAAGATATTAATACAAATTAATACATATTTAAAAAATAATAAATTAACTAACTATAAACTATAAATTAACACTGGTTAGGAGCTGTGTTTTCAATGTTTTGAAGCGTTGCTAATTCAACTTAGGAAACATATCGATGTATTGTGGTTCCTTTCATTTATTTATTTAAACTTTCTTTAAGTGGTCTTAAAAAGTCTTAAATTTACCTTCATAAAACCTGTATTTTCACAGCAGGACCTTCTAAATTAAAATTCTTACAGGTTTGTGAAGATCTCTTCATTAATTTAACCATCCTATAGCTCTCTCTCTCTCTGTGTGTGTGTGTGTGTGTGTGTGTGTGTGTGTGAATGATCTTAAATCTTAATTCTCATGATAAACATTGACGTGTTTTGGCCAGAGATACAGAGAGTTACACCTCATCACACTCTGATTGATTGATTGATTGCTGTAGGCTCCGCCCACTCACTCTCCACTAATGAAAACGCTGGAGCTCTGATTGATTGATAGCTGTAGGCTCCACCCACTCATCCTCCACCACTCAGATCTCTGATTGCAGGAGGTTTGAAAGCTCTTGTGGTGGATCAGTATCTCTCTGACCGTCTGATGGTGAGATCACAGCTCTTCTCTCTCTGTGTCGCTCGTTGTTCCTCTGTGGTTTGGTAAATTATGTTTCCTGCTTTGAGCTCCAGTCTCTTCTTGGCTTTTTGTTGTTTTGTGCCTTTATTTAGGCCTGTATTTTAGGCCTGTAGTGACTCAACAACACCACTGAGAAAATAGTTTTCTTTGGAGTTTCTCTCCAGTTTGTTTTGTTTCTTGAAGCTTCAGTGCAGCTCAACAAAATCCAGTGAGGAAAGATTCGTGAAAGTTGAAGGAATGGATGAAAGTTGAAGGAA